AAACCCAACCAACCAACCAACAAACAAACAAAACTGAAAATAAACACAAGGAAATTAATGGGCAATTGGAAATATGACAGTAATATATTAGTGGGGGAAAGAGGGCATTATGTTGAAAGTAGCATGGAGAGTGTTATGCTATGTAATATATGTCTCTTATTATATGCACATATACTTATTATGCCTATAAAAGAAGTATCAGTGTTCTTGGTTACCTGTGGGAGAGTAAATATAACTTTTAATCTTATATTACTTTACACTTTATATTGTTTGATATAAATTTTGATAATGAAAATGCACTTTAGTAGTCAGAAAAACAGAATATATTTTAATGAGAGAGTTTGCAACAGAGACTTGGCACTTGGCAGAAGACTCATTGGCAGCTGTACTGAAGTGTTTTATAAGAGTGTCACCAGAGTGATGACCCGGGCATTTGTGCCTGACTCTGGAGCAATCTTCAGACTGAAGTCCACATCCCAAAGTCCACACAGGAGCGCCCCCTTTTTCTCTGCTCTCGCTCTCTCATTTCCTTGTTTCCAAAATCCTCCCTCCACTGAGGAAGGAATTCAAAGCTGTTGACTGATGAGGGAGTGAGGAAATCCTCAGAAGATTCTTTTGACAGGGAAAACATCATTTTGATCGCGTCAGTTTCCACGAAGAAAATCAGTACAGATGTTACCCAGTTTCACTCTTGCCGAAGAGCAGAACTGATGAGCACCGGCTTAGCCGTGGCCTTCATCTTCTAGGCAATCTCATGCTTTCGGGTTGTGGGACACTCTGCTGGGGACGAGGGCAGGGGTGAAGTGGATGCTGGCATTAATCCTAAGAGCACATAGAATCTTTTTAATAACTTCCCCTACCAGACCTGGGGAAAAAACAGTTTTTTGTTTGTTTGTTTGTTTTTTGCTCAAATATATGGCCAAGCAAAGTAGCAGGTGTCCGGATAAACTTGAGGCAATGTTGTGAGTCACTAGTAGGGTGCAAATGATCCACTCACACATCCAACGCCACACATAGTCTTTTGTCTGTGTCTGCTGTGTGCTCAAAGTGTGTTCTGTGGAATCCGAGAGGTTCTTCAGCTCTTCCAGGAAGCTTTGAATCACCATTGTTTGGTGTCTGTCCCTTCCTCCTGGCTCAGCTTGTCCCCTGCTTAGTTAGTACACTTTCAAGAATTCTGCTGGGAACAGTACTTGACGTGAAAGGTACAGTTTCTTCTAGAGAACTAAGAAAACAGAGCCACTTGCCAGGCCTGGTGACACATACTGTAATTCCAGTGCATGAAAAGTGGGAGACAGGAGGATCATGAGCTGAAGGTCATCCTGGGATATGTACGTAGTTCAGCACTAGCCTGGGCTACATGTAATATATATGTATATGTGGAATAGTCTGTACATGGAGGAGGGGAACATCCGGCAGTTGGAATGGTTTCACGCTCTTGGGAAAGACGCAGGACAACACAGGACCCCACCATTCGCTGTATCAGCTGCTCCAGTCCCCAGTTCTGCTTTCTCACCGAAACCTGTCTAAGCAGGTCAGACTCTACTCAGAGCGGTGTCCCTGTGAGTGCGATCATTTTGTTCTCAGGTCCTTAATTAAAACCACATGCAGCTCCTTGGTAAAATAGTGCCTAGCCAGGAAATAGAGGCAGGAAGGTTGGGAGTTCAAGGTGATCCTCAGCTACACAGCAAGTTGGAGGCCAGCCTGGGCTACACACTTAAAATCCAGTCTCAAAAAATTAAAAATGAAATAAGACATAGTCAGGCCTGGTGGTTCACACTTGTATTGCCAGCTCCTCTGGGAGGCTGAAGTAAGAGAGCTGAAAGTTCTTGGTCCACTCAGAGAGTTCCAGGTTCTGGGTAACTGGTGAGAACCTACCTTTCAAAATAAAAGTTACCTTTACAAAAGGGCTTAGTTATATCTCAGTGGCATAGCACTTGCAGGTGAGGAATTGGTCCAAATCACAGTATCAGGAAAGAAAAGGCTTAATATCAGATCTCCTTTAGGAATCCAAAATGTTCCAAACTCATTTCAATGCTATATTCTGCTGTCCTGAAACCCTTCAGGAATGACTTATTAGAAGAGCTTTTGGGATTCTTAATGCTGGGTTCTCTTTATCAGGTATACTGACAGAGGCTAAGTCATTTAATCATAAGCCTGGGAGAGCAGATGCCCTGTGTAAGCTCGCTGACAGCCAGTGAGCATGAAGAAAGCTGGGAGGGCAGCAGAGGAGCTGGAACGTGGATGCTGTGGGCTCCAGGTCTTTGGAGACTGTGTCTCGGCTTTCACTGAAGAAGGCAGTAAGGTCTTTCACAACACTCGGAGGCAGGGACTTTGTCTTCATTTGCAGGGTTGGACAGATAACCCATTTTATGGATGTACAAAGTGAATCACAGAGGCTTCTGTCTGTGTCAGGTGCAGGGCATGAGGGTAGCTCTGTCGACCCAGGGTCTTCCTTCACTGTCCTGGCATATATTTGATTATAAAGTCTCCGTGAAGATACGAGTGTGAGGGCTTCAGGAGGCAGCCTGTAATGATTTGCAATAAGGATACGATGGTGCAGAAGACAGCACTGGTGTTCAGAGTGAGGCAAAGCTGAGCTCAGAAGTATGTCTGGGGGGTTACAGTGACCCCTGTAGTTGTCATTGAGGCTAAAGATTTAGGAGCATCTTGTCCAACCTATGATGGAATGGACACACGAAAGGTCAGTAAGGATGCAGATGAACTGAATCAGCAAGGGATCGCTGAGAGAAATCCCATTTCAGTCCAGTACACCCGGGTTTCCCTCTTTACCTGCCTGATGGTTGTTCTGAGAAAACCGTTCAAGAACCTATAGACCACTAGCAGAGGGCCCATCGCCCATGTCTTGACCAGGTTTTCTGGAATGGAAAAGGCCCTGAGTGTGTGACTACACTGGATCCCATATGCACAGGAATTCCACTTCCTTCCTTCAATCAAACCCAAAGGGTCTCATTATGTTTAAAGAGGATTTAGAAAGAGATTTTAGGATCTGGTTATTTATTTTTGAAACAAGGTCTCTTGTATATCAAGCTGCCTCACTATGTAGTTGAGAACGCCTTGAACTCTTGCTCTTCCTGCCTCCACCACCCAAGTGCAGGGAATATAGGTGTGTGCACCACACCTGTGGGGAGCAGATGAGTCCTGAGTGAATGTGTATTGCTAATATGAGTACAGCCATGCCAACGACCCCAATGCCTCAGACCCATAGGAGTGGGAAGCTTTCCCTGGTGAGGTTCAGAGAAACGACAAAGCCTTCTGGTCCAAGTACCAGTGTTTACAAATGATTGCCCAGTGTGTGCAAAAACTAGAAACCACAGCTTCATCCTCCTGGATGACTGCAGCCTGGGACTGCTCACCCCAGAGACCTCCTACCGAGATGAGCTAAACCTGCCTTCTTGTTCAGTTGTAGACCATGAGTCCACTTCTTTACTTGGCTGTATACTATAAGCCTGTGTCCTTCATTCAGGTGTATAAAATAAATGAGCTGAAGTTCTGGGCAGCAGTTGGTGCTGCCCATCAGAATGATCGTAGTCTTTCTGTATATGTGTCCCTGTGTCTGCCCTTCTCTCATTCCCTCATCACCCAGTTAGGCCAGTCCTCGAAGCCATGCAGAGTGTGGCATACACCTGGTTTAAATATTTATAATCCAGTTCCACCCTTACTGTGTTTGAGTTTATGACCTATCAGATTTTGTATGTATTTTCTGAATGCCCAACTATTAAGAACATTACACAGTTTTGTTTATAGGTATTCTGCCTACATGTATGTATGTGTGCCATGTGTGTGTCTGATGCCTAAAGAGATCAGAAGAAGGTGTTGGAACCCTTGGAATTGGAGTTACAGTTGTGGGCCACTATGTGGGTGCTAAGAATCAAATCCAGTTTGGATTTGGAAGAGCAACAAGTACTCTGAACCACTGAGCTCTTTTTGGCACCTGCATGGCTTTTGGATAGGATTTCCCTGTGTAAACTGGCTTTTATAGACCGGGCTGCCCTTGAATGTGTGTCAGTCCTTCTGCCTTAGCCTCCAGCCTTAGCCTCCAAGTGCTGGATTTCACGTCTATTGTTTTGTTTTGCCTTGTTATTTTTGAGATAATGCATCATGGAGCCCAGGCTGGTCTTGAATTCTTGATCCTCCTGCTTCTACATCCAAAGTCCAGGAGTGCAGGTGTGCTCCACAATGCCTCGTTCCACAAGGTATTTGGTGGGGAAGGCTTGATGACTTATTTCTCAAGCTAAGGCTTGACACATAGGTTTTCAGTAAAATTGTATGGAATAGATAATTGACCAATAAATATAAATGTCAATGTAGTAAGTAAGAGATACAGATTCTAGTTCTGCTTCCTCTGAACGACCTTAGGAGAATCACAATCCTCTCTGAGTTTCCAGTTCAACATCTGAAACTGGGAGAGACTGATTCTGTCTTCCTTCCCAAGCTTTGGGAGGAACTGAGGGGGTAATGTGTGTAAAATTGATACTATGTCTATCTTGTGTGTGTGTGTGTATACATACATACATACACATAGGTATATATTTTGCTTGTATTTTTGAGACAGGGTTTCTCTGTGCAGCCCAGGCTGTCCTGGAAGCTACTCTGTAGACCAAGCTGGCCTCAGAGATCTGCCTGGCTCTGCCTCCTAAGCACTAGGATTAAAGATGTGTGCCTTATATTTTTTTAAAAATATTTATTCATTTATTATGCGTACAATATCTGCCTGCATGTGTACCTGCAGGCCAGAGACGGCACCAGATCTCATTACAGATGGTTGTGAGCCACCATATGGTTGCTGGGAATTGAACTCAGGACCTTTGGAAGAGCAGGCAATGCTCTTAACCACCGAGCCATCTCTCCAGCCCCCTGCCTTATACTTTTTTGAGACAAGATTTCATGTCATGTAGTACAGGCTGACCTTGAACTCTAGTCTATTTTATTTCATTAGTATTATTGTGTGTTTGCATGTGTATGTTTTGCGCATGGCGGGGGGTGCACATGTTCTGCAACATGCATGCGGAGGCCAGAAGACAACTGTGGAGTCAGTTCTCTCCTTCCACCACGAAGGATCTGGGTTCACCAGGCTTTCGGGCAAGTGTTTAACCCGCTGACTCATTTTCACAGCTCTGGTCTCAGACCCTCTTTGTAGCTGAGGATCACCTTACACCTCTCATCCTCCTGCTTCCATCTCTTGAATACGGAGGTTACGAGCATATGTCACCAATTTATAGCCAATTATATTCATGGAAGAGGTACAGTCAGTTGCTGTTACGAGGCTATCTTTAATTCTGCACTAGGCTATTTAGCCTCCTTTAAGCCTTTGTTTGTTTTGAGACAGGATCTCCCTATGTAGCTTTGGATGTCCTGGAACTCACTATGTAGATCAGGATAGCTTTGAACTCATAGAGATTCACCTGCCTCTACCTCCTAAGTGCTGGAATTAAAGTCATGTGCCATCACACCTGACCAAGTCTATTTCTTTTAATGTTCAGTAGAAATGATGCTGCTGATTGGAATAAAAATATCAAAATATTAATCCATTATCTACTATTAGAAAAATTAGGATTATAGAAGTTCTAATCTAAGGACTGGAGAGATGGCTCAATGGTTAAGAGTACTGGCTGCTCTTCCAGAAGACCCAGGTTCAGTTCCCAGAACCCACATGATATGATGGATCACAACCATTTGTAATCCCAGTTTCAGGGATCTTCTGGCCTCCGTGGGCATCAGGCATGAGCTTGGTGCACATACATACAGATGAAACTCATATTCAAAAAATTAGAAAATACTACCCTAGCCCCAAGAGGACGAGTAAGTTCACTTGACTGAGTACTGGGATATGAGTCTGTTGCTAGGCTGCAGGTATTGTTCTTGGGTACTATTCTGTGCAGCTGATACAGCCGGAAAAGAATAGCATGTGTACCATCCTAGACTGCGTGTGTGCATGTGTGTGTGTGTGTGTGTGTGTGTGCATGTGTGTGTGTGTGCGCATGTGCGTGTGTGTGTGTGTGTGTGTGTGTGTGCATGTGTGTGTGTGTTGCTGATGGTGCTGAGGATCAAATCTCTTTACTATAGCATCTTTGAGACCAGATCTCAAAGCTATTATTCTACAAAAACAGACACCTGTTTAGTTTAGTGAGTGGGGAGTGACTATTTGTTGTATGGCTTATTTTGTTTGTTTTTGAGACAGTCTTACTGTGGTGCTGGACTGAGGCTTTGAACTAGGTCCAGTGGGAACCTTGTCTGCTCATGTTAGTGAGTGTCTGGGTGTCTTAGAGAAAGTGCCCATTTATCACTTTCCACCATCCCAAAGCTGAGTCTAACCTGGCTTGGCAATCTGGATTAATCAGTCTGGTGAATCAGCCCTGTAGTGACAGCTCAGACACCAAAAGGCAGTATTTATAATCATGTCAGGAAACCCAAACATAAGGGAAAAGAAAGTTGCTTTGCCAAATCTTTAAACTGGGTTGAAGCGCAACGGATTCTAAACATTGCTGTATCTGAGAGTTACCCAGGGTGAACTCATGTTATAATGCTGAAGATCTTACAATTAGGAGGAACCTGTCTAAAGGAATGTGTCTAACAGTGGGTGGTCGCCCACACATTTAATTCCATCACTCAGGAGGCAGAGGCAGGTGGATCTCTGAGTTCCAGGCCAGTCTGGTCTACAGAGTGAGTTCCATGACATCAAAGGGTACCAGAGAAATCCTGTCTCAGAAAAATAAATAAATAAATAAATAAGGAAATGTAAAGCTTACAACATTGGATACAGCCTTGGTCAAGGTCCACAGGACCTGAAGTTTTAGTAATTTCACAATAAATTCACCTCAGCTTATAGAGCTTGTTCTTAAATTTTATCTTTATGTGTAGGTGGCTGCTTGCCTGTGTGTACACCATATGTGTACCCAAGGGGCCAGAGGGCATTGTAACCCATGGGACTGGAGTTACAATGTAGCTGTGAGCCCCCCTGTGTGAGTGCTAAGAACTGCTTTTAACTCTTAACGACTTCTCCAGCCCCATTAGGGAACTTATTAAAAGTTTAAGAATAAGATGAGCGTGGGAGTAGCATAAGCTTCTTGGAAAGCTGAGATAGGAGGATGACTTGACGTAAAAAAATTAAGATTAGTCTGGGCAACATAGTGAGAGCACATCTGAATAACAGTAATGATAATAAAGACCCCTGGTCCCAACTCTAGACATTACACATTTGGATTCAGTATATCTAGGTCCCAGAAATATATATTTCCCTCTAACCAACTTCTTTCCCCACCCACACATGTCTCGGTCTCTCTTAGTATTGTTATTTGTTTGACCTTGTTTTTATTTAGATGCTATCTCCTGAGCCATGAGTCCAGGGTGGCCTCAGACTTCTTATATAGCTGAAGCTGAGGCTGGCCTTCAATGAACATGGCCTGATCATGTTAGTATTATAGATGTATACTACCAAACTCAGCCAAATAACAATGTGTTTTTGCTTTGTTTTGTTTGTTTGACTAGCCTGGAACTCACTATGTAGACCTGGGTGACCTGAACTCAAAGAGGTACACCTGCCTCTGCCTCTGCCGCCTGAGTGTTGGGATTAAAGGAGTGCGCCACCACATCTGCATCTTCCCAATTTTGTTTTGTTTTGTTTTGTTTTCTGAGACAGGGTTTCTCTGTGTAGCTCTGGAGCCTGTCTTAGCACTTGATCTGTAGACCAGGCTGGCTTCGAACTCACAGAGCTCTACCTGCCTCTGCCTCCAGAGTGCTGGGATTAAAGGCAGGTGCCCCACTGCCTGGCCAGTTTTTTGACACAGACTAATTCATCACATTTGCTTTATAACTGAAGCATTTGACTACGTCTCATCACTTACAGGTTAACATTGTTTTGTCTAGACACATTGTACAAGCTATACAGAGAATACTTCCCTTCTCAGGCTGTGAGTCCAACTGGAACTCAGTTGTCTCAGATTGCTGGTCTTCCTTTCTTTCCCTTCTCCATAGCCATTGGCATTGGCACAGCCTTGTGGCTCTGAGGCATGGACTCTGAAAGAGAATGGCTGGTTATCATTCCAGTGGCTGATACACGTTAGATTATCTTCCAAACTTTCTGTCAAGTCATTTAAAAGAAATAGTGCTTTATTTTCTTACACGCCCCCCCCCCCTTCCACCTTTCTTTCTGTCATGTAACCTGGCTGGCCTCAATTTTGCAAGGCTAGCCTGGAATTCCTGGTCTGCCCCCTACCTTCCAAGTACTAGGATTCTAGAAAAAAATGCTCCTCTCTAAGGAAGACACTAACTAGAACCACACTTCCCAGAGAGTGGGGGCAAGGAGCTCACATTAAGAGAGCACCTTTGATGTACTAGGTGCCTCTCAAACAGGATCCTGGTTAGCTGCCACAGCCACAAGCAAGGCAACATAAGGAGTCCTGTTTCACAGAGAAGGCAGCTGTAGAATGGAGAAGTCAAGCAACTTCCCACAAGCCACTCAGCTGGTGCTTGTTTTCCTTAGGCTATGCTGCCTTTCCAACAGAAAGCAGCCTCTGTTGATGGAGACTTTGTTCCCTTGTGGACATCAGCAGACTCACTGGGCATGGGACTTCAAAGATGACAAATACTATAATGATGACTCCCCCGAGCAGCAGCGCAGCAGCTATCAGAGCTTTGATGACAATACTCCATTTCTGCCTCTTCTTTAAGGACACATCTGTGTCTGAAAGGAAAGAGGGATGGAGAGAAAGGGAACATGAGCAAAGCTCAGCAGGACTGTGAGTTTTCCTCCTCAGACTAATCAAGGACACCTGACTCAGAGAAAGAGCCTGGATTTCCATCTGGGGCTCAGAATCAGGTGCGGTGGCAGCATGGGCTCCTCACTAGCTTCTTTTATGAATGAGCCACCTTCCCTAGAATTTGGGATTCTCCAGAGTCATGCATGCTGATTCTTCCACTGTTTTTGGGAAGAAAAACCTTGGGTACACAAGGAGCACTTCACCCATTGTTCCCAGTCAGTCCTCTTGACATTCTAAATCTTAAAAACAAAAATCACATCTCCTTCCATCTCTGTCACTGAAAAAAGAAAAAGTAATACAAATATACAGAAATCATCTTCATTTCAGGCCTGGTGGCATATACCTTTCATACTGGCACTCAAGAGGCAGAAGCAGGTAGGTCTCTAAACCCAAGGCCAACCTCATCTATTTAATGAGCTACAGACTAGTCATGGCTACATTGAGACCATGTCTCAAAAAGAAACAAAAGCAAACAAAAATTACTGCTCCACTCTTGGTTTCCGGAGGGTACAGGAAGAACAACGGTGAACTGTCACTGCTTTTGAATCATAAGCCAAGTCCAGGCCAGAAGGCTCCCATCTATTATGCTATTACTGATCTCATTATACTTTTCCACTGGTATGAACCTGGGATGTAACCCAAACTTGAATCTTATAGAATTTGAGTCTTGGCCAATTTAGGAAGGGCTGTTTTTAAAAACCAGTGAAGACGAAGACATGTTGGTTGGTGTCATCTCTGTTAGTAATTGCTTACTATTAAGTATACATCTGTCCATGCAAGTGGCTGGTATGTACCAGTTGGATTTAGTCCATTTCCAAATCTGAATTCACTTTCATGAAATAAGGAATTACCATTTTTCAATAAAAGATTTATTATATACAGTCGTGTGTGCGTGCATGCACACACACACGCACGTGCGTGCATGTGCCTGTGTGACTTTATGTGCATTGGTGCATGCCTGTACCCTCAGGGACCAGAACGCATCAGATCCTTTGGAACTAGAATTACAGGTGGTTGTGTGAGATACCTGAAGTTGGAGCTTAACATCAGGTGAAGATGGTTCTTAACCACCGAACCATCTCTCCATCCTCAAGGAAAGGATTATTGACTGTGTTGAACTACAGATGTTTCTGGGAACTTCCTTATGGATAACTTTTTTTTTCTCTTATTAAAACATGAAATGATTTTTTTTAATATAAAGTAGCTTCTCCGCCTCCAAGAAAGTCCTAGGAGACCTAGAGTAATATTGGGGCTAAAATGTCTCTTTTCCTTCCTACTCTTGCTTTACCACCTCTACTTAATTTGTACCTTGTGATAAAGGGCTGGAAAAACCCCCAGTGCTTGTAGTTTTCTCTTCTTTACTTCTAGGAGTTGTGGAGGTGGTAGTATTGGGCACCGTCTCTGATGAAGCAGATCTACTCTTTGCTGGGTAGACCTTGCAGTGAGAGATCCCTGGTAAGAAAGCTATAAAACAAAAAAGAAGCAACACATGGACAACTGTAGCACACAAGCATCATCCTACTTTGGTTTTACGTGACAACCCTAGCTCTCCTCACTTCATACTACATTTCTAACTGTGGCCCCATTGACCTGTATGTTCATAGGTTTTAGGTGTAGGCATAGAATAATGCCAAGAATAAATGAGACCAGTGATACCAAGAAGAGATATGGATTAAATCTCCAGGAATCCTTTGGCTATAATCAGAGGGAAAGAGTAAGCTGTATCTTGCTTGCCTACCATTCTTGAGGTTATAATAATAATAATAAAGATAGAGGGTGTGACCTTACTGAGCATTCCCTTCATTAATAGAGGTGGTTCCAAAGTCCAGGGAAGAACTTGAAATGCATTGCCTGAATGACCGCTGCAGGTCTGTGTAGTGGAGCCCAGTCAACTACTCTGAGAAGGCAGTGGTGCAAGTAAGAGGAACTAGGAGATGGAAAGGCACCCAGCTTCGTGTTCTCCTCAGTTTCATTCATTTAATGTTCAAAAACCAGTGTCTATTATGTGCCAGGCACTGCTTCAAATTTTTTATCAGTTGGATTCATAATAACAGGAAAGCAAAGAAATAGGTCTGGGGTCAGGGCAAAGGAAGCAGAGACAAATTCAATGACTTTCTATATTATATATAAATATATTTACATATTAATATATACATATAGTATATGTATATATATTACATGAAATATATATATTTCATGACTGGGTGTAGTGGCACCTGCCTTTAGACCCAGCATTCGGGAGACTGAGGCAGGAAGATAACCTTGAGTTCAAGGCCCACATAGGCTACCTAGTGAGCACCAAGCCAGCCACAGCTGAATAGCAGGACCCTACCTCAACAACAACAACAACAACAACAATAACACAAAACAAAACAAAACATTATTCTATATTAGGGTAACTGCTACTTAAAAACTAAAACTAGAGCTGGGCATAGTGGCACATGACCTCGGGAGGCCAAGGTCAGCCTGGTCTACATAGTGACCAGGACAGCCAGGGCCACAAGGAGAGACTCTCTCTCAAAAGCACCAATCAATCAATCAGTCAGTCAATCAAGAACAAGAAGCCACTCATGGTAGCTCATACCTGTAATCCCAGTACTGGTAAGGTTGAGTTGGAGAATTACTAAGAGTTCAAAGCCATCCTGGGGTAACTAGTGAGTTCCTAGCTAGTCTGAGCTACATAGTGTAAGACTATGTCTTACAAGCCAAAATCAGGCATGAGAGAGATGGCTTGGTGGTTAAGAGCACTTGCTGCTTTTGGAGGACCTGGGTTTGGTTCCCAGCACCACATCAGGCTGCTCATAGGTGCCATAACTTCAGTTCCAGGGAATGCAGTGCCCTCTTCTAACCGCTGTTGACATCCATGTACCTGTGATACACCTACATACATGCAGGCAGACACACATAAATTAAAAAAATAAATCTTTAAAACACCAAAACCAGGGGCTGGAGAGATGGCTCAGTGGTTAAGAGCATTGCCTGCTCTTCCAAAGGTCCTGAGTTCAATTCCCAGCAACCACATGGTGGCTCACAACCATCTGTAATGAGATCCGGTGCCCTCTTCTGGCCTGCAAGCATAATGCAGACAGAATATTGTATACATAATAAAACAAACAAACACACAAACAAACAAAAAAACAAAATCAGCTAGCTAGTTGGTGGTGGTGCATGCCTTTAATCCAGCAAAGGTGGGTGGATCTCTGAGTTCGAGGCCAGCCTGCTCTAGAGAGCAAGTTCCAGGACAGCCAGGGCTACACAGAGAAACCCTGTCTTAAAGAACAATCAGTCAGTCAATCAATCAAACAAACAAACAAAGAGCAAAAAATTTCAAGACAAACTAATCAGAGGAATATTCATAGGTAAGAGTTGGGCAACCTGTAGTATAGGCCAAGCCTCTCTGAGGTTAGAATTGAGCCAAGACTTGAGGGAAATAACCTAGGTGGAGGGAACAATGGGAATAAAGTCCCCAAGGCAGAGCATATCTGAAGGTTACAGTTACAGGGACGAAGTAGGCAGTCAGTAGCCAGCATGGAGGAGCAAGGGAGGGGATGAGGATTGAGAGGATGCAGGAATCCAGGCTCTGTGTGCCAAGTTCAGGGCTTTGGAAATAAGGATCTGTTGCAAGGTTTTGATCAAGGGTGACCTTTTTGTGGGGAGGGTGTTATTACTTTTTTTGTTTGTTTGAGACAGGGTCTAACTCTGCATCCCAGTCTGGCTTCCAACTCACAAAGTCCTGCTTCAGCTTAAGTGCTAGGATTACAAGTGCGAGCCACCATGCCCAGCTAAGCTTCATTTTGATTGACCATTCACTGGACTGCTGTGTTAGAAATGGACCGTTATGGGATAAGGCTAGAGGAAGCATCATCTGGTGGTGGCAGCAGATTTTGGAGACAGTAGGTGATGGGTGCCAGGATTCAGCCAGGGATAAAAGTGAGGAGAAGCAGAGGAATTCTGACTGTAGTCTGCACCCAACTCCACCTGCTTATGGAATGGACCTAATCCAATTCAGACAGTGGTGACTATTCCTCTCCACACCTCACCCCTTTTATTTAGAAGACAGGGTGTGCCTAAATAGCCCATATTAGTCTAGCATCAAATGCACTATGTAGCCAGACTGCTCTCAAACATGAAGTGAGACTCCTGCCTTCCCAACTACTGAGGTTATAGGTGTGCCACCAAAACTAGTCTTTTATTCCATTTGAAACTGTATTATTTCCAGGGGAGTGGTGCATGCCAAAGTGTCCATGTGGAGATCAGAGGATAACTTTGTGAAGGTGGTTCTCTATGTTTATTTGGATGCTAGGGTTCAAACTCAGGTAGTCAGGTTTGGATCACTGGGCAGCAAGCACCTTCCCCTTCAGGGGCCATCTTGTGAGCCTTTATTCCATTTTGCATGGAATTCTTATCATAACTTTTCTTTAGCATTTCTAAATTGCTCTTTTTTGTTTTGATTTTTTGAGACAGGGTTTCTCTGTCCAGGCTGTCCTGGAATGCACTCTGTGAACCAGGCTGGCCTTGACTCACAGAGATACCTTTTGAGTGCTGAGACTAAAAGTGTGCACCACCACCATCTGCCTCTAAATTACTCTCACATGTCTTTATATCCTTTACAATGATCATTTGTTGTTGTTAATCAGCAGAGATGTTGAACAACTTGACAAGTAAAACAGCAGAGTGACAGTTTTAACAGTTGTGTAGAGGGAACAATCGCACTCGGGCAGCTTTCAGTCACAGTCATCATACAACAAATGACAGGATAAACAGTGGTCCTTGATCTGAGTTTAACTGGAGACAGTGTTGGCCACCGTGCCCGGCTCCAGTCACTTCTCTTAAGTGGTAACATGCGTGTTTGAAGATAAGCAGAACTCACTTTGGACAGTTACGTAATTCTGAGTTTGGTTTCCCTGTTTGCAATATTGTTGTAATAAAAAATACTCACTGTATCTATTTCTCAGAGGTGTTGTAAACATCAGAAACAAATAAAAATGAGAAAGCAGATATGAAAACACTTTGTAAGCTGAGTGAACTGGGATTGAAAAATAAGGGAAAGTCTAGAGACTCTCTCTAAGCAGAAGAACTCTGTCTGGTAGCCAGAGGGATAATGGCATAGAGACATATGTCCTGTATTCCCACCCACGAGAATGTGACTTCAGAGTCTACTGGGCAGGCTCCATCTGTCAGTGTACTTTCAGTCCTCTGAATTAATGTCCATGTTGGCAGCCCATCTCTTTTAGGTACTATCTCTGAGGTATCTGAACATCAAGGTAGAACATGTCTGAAATATATTTTATTTCCTTCAAGTGGTGGTGGCACGTCCCTTTAATCCCAGCACTGGGAAGAAGCAGAGGCAGGCAGATCTCTGACTGAGATCAAGGCCATACAGAGTGAGTTCTAGGACAGCCTGGGCTATACAGAGAACAACCCTGTCTCAAAAAAAAAACACCCAAACAAAACACTTTATTCCATTGATGATGGGATTGCAAAATTAGTTTTTCTTTGGCTGAAGGTATTTGAACTGAATGCCCCAATTTAAGGCGACCATGATGGCACATGCCTCTAGCTCCAGGCAGGACCTGGAAGACAAGAGGCAGGAAGGTCAATGCAAGTTGAGATCGGCCTGGTTTATTTGAAAGGTTCATGCCACTTAGGGTTACAGAATGAGACACCGCCTCAAAAACAATCCATAAGAACATTCCAGCTTGCTAGGCATGGTGGTACTCACCTTTAAGCCTCTGTTCTAGAGCAGAATCCTAAGTTCAAGGCCAGTCAGGCCTATATACAGAATTCTAGGCAAATGAGGACTGCATAGTAAGACTTTGGTGTTTTTGTTTTTTGCTTTTTTAGCATAGAAAGACCCCAATTTAAGGAGTTTGTTTTTAAAAATCCAACTTTATGAAATTCTTAAATACAATAATAATTCATAGTTTTAAAAGATTCTTTGCTTAAAAACTAATTTTAAAGTAAAGAACACTGAATATATTTAATCTATTTTCATTTACATTTAATATAACGTTTTGTTTGGCTGGATTTTGAGATTGGATCTTGTCATGTAGCCCAAGTTAAACTTGAACTAGCTATGTATTGTTATTATTTTTTTCTGAGACTGTGTTTCACTATGTAGCTAGACTGCCTTCAAACTTCCTGTCCTCCTGCCTTTGCTTCCCAAGTGCTGGGACTGCAGACATATACCACCACGTCTGGATACATACATTATATTTAAATAGAGATGTCATTTTCTGGTCAATCTCTTGTGAGTTTGAGGGCAGCCTAGTCTACATACGGAACTCAAGGATAACCAAGGCTATGTAGTGAGACTCCGTCTGAAACAAACATAAATAATAAATAGAGGTGGCTCTTAGAGAATATTCTATAATAATACTCACATGTTGAAGGGCCACTTGGGAGTCTTTACATTTGTTTTTAGGCTTGCACGCTAATGTTTAATCCTCTGTACCTCTGAAAACTAGACCATCTTGTCAGCTCTCCCAGTTGTAACTGTAGAAACTGAGCACTGGGAAAATACCTAACTTGCCAAAGGCGATCGTTAACATCATAATAAATACTAGTTTGATTTATAACATTTATAACTTCTATAACCCACAATTTCATATGAGGTAACCAGACCTGAGATGTCAGTTCACACTAGTCAAATTATAAAGATCCTAATCCATCTACTAAAATGACATTTAAAAATGCTCACACAGTCCATGGGTGGTGGTGTATGCCTTTAATCTCAGCATTCAGGGAGGCAGAGGCAGGAGGATCTCTGAGTTTGAGGCTAGCCTGGTCTACAGAGTGAGTTCCAGGACAGCCAGGAACAGAGAAACTCTGTCTCAAAAAACCAAAAGAAGAAGAAAGAAAGAAAAAAAGTCACTCAAAAAGAAAATATTTGCCAGATATGGTTGGACAGACCTTGATCCTAGCATTTGAAGGCAGAGAATCTTTGTGAGTTTGAGGCCAGCTTGATATACAAAGTGAGTTCCAGGCCAGCCAAGGTGAGATTGTTTCAAAAAACAAAGTAGAAAATATTTATCAACTGTATGAAACAGCTGTGTGTGGTGGTGCACACTTGTAATCTCAGCACTCAGAAAGTGGAGGCGGGAGAATTAGTAATTCAGGCTTATTGTCAAATATGTAGTGAGGGGTACCCGAGAACCAGTCTTGAAAATATAAAAATAAGATAAAAATCAGATAGGGTGTTTTTATCTTCTTGTGTCCTATTAAAAACAGATAAGTCTCTATGAAACCTGATGGGTAACTGGAAAGCTTCTAAAAATAAAATCTGAGAAGCAGGAACAGAAACTGTATTGTGACTGATTGCCCCAGGTCCCCGTGTGTTGCTGTGAGAAAAGCAACTTGGGCATGCACTCTATCAACTGAGCTACACCTCAGCCGCTGTCTTGTGTTTCCTTTCTACATTTTATGTTTGGTGCATGTCTTGTTAAGACCAACTGTGCTGTGGAAAGTTCTCGTCCTTACAATTCCATATTCTTACTTGATTTAGAGGAGCTTTTCATTAATGCCACTTGATTATATTTTAGACACCTCCCTCTGCAGACTGACATCAGCCTGAGTGACAGCTTCAGAGTGCATGTCTCCTGTGAACATTTAAGTCAGACTGTTTTCCTAGTTTTTATTTCTAACCTATTTGAGGTCTGTTGCATCTTTGTGATTTAATGTGGTTTAAATTCAGAACAGGCATCTTCGGACTTTGAAAGAAAGTTCCTTTCAAAAGTCCATTCATAAGATGACTGTGTGGATTTGTCATGGTGGCTTTGTAAACACATATGGTGAATGGTGATTAGGACCCAAACTAACCAAATATGCATTAGGTCTCTTTACACGACTCAAATCCTATATGGTGCTGCCTCAGAGTCTGGATCTCAGAACCTTTGCCTTGAGCAAGCATCCAGGAGAAGGAGGAAGACTGTTCCTCTTGGAAAGAGCTCAAAGCCTGGAGTCACCCCAAGGCAAACCTTTTCAATAGGGCAGGTTGATCTTTGGCAACTTTCCTCTCCCTTAACCCCCCCCCCCCCAATTTTCCTGGCTCAGAATTCCTGACAGCTAATGTCCTGAATTACCTCAGGCCCCACAGTGTAAAGCATGATGGAGTACTACCACTCAGAGAGCTGCAGACTGGAAAGTGCCTTAAGGCCAGTACTGGGTCAGGTCAACAGGGTGTCACATAGTAAGAGGAAAAGGCCCACATAAATTGATATTGAGTGATTTTTGGGTTTTAAGAGCCCTCCCAGTGGTAAAGTTTAATTAACTACTTCTTCCTTCCTTCCTTCCTTCCTTCCTTCCTTCCTTCCTTCCTTCCTTCCTTCCTT